TGTCGTATTGCGCTGATCACATTCAACAAGAAGGCGAGCGGGGGGGAAGAGGGATTCGCTATCGATAAGGGAAATATTCGTCGGATATCGCTGTTTTGCCTTGTTACTGTTGACACAACATTTCCGTTTTTGCTATAGTAAAGTTTGAACGTCCTTTTGAGTCCGGATTTTTGTTGCATTATTGGGGATAAAATTATTGGGTTTGAGGTTGGCGCTCTTGTGACAAAGTGGTGATGTTTTATCTTGAAATCGGCGTTATTTCGATGATCGAGGGTAGCCAAAACAGATACTGCTCCATAAGACCGCTTAGGCCGAGTACGCCTCGTCCGGAAATACCGTTTGAAGGCTGGTAGATTGGTCTGGTGGATTGGTTGCTGGATTGGTTGTTGGATTGGATTGTCTTTTTGGTCTTTGTCAATATTTGAGGATGTTTAGAAATATCGTTTCTGATTGTATTCGTGGCAGCTTTATTTTTTTTCAGGAAGGAAAAGGAGTATAGAGTGAACAAGGAGAAAGATATAGAAAGCATTTTATAGAGGGCAGGAAAAGAAAACCTCAAAATTGTACGTATATCTTGATATATTAAGATAGAGATATACATATTTATAATATATCCTTATATCTTTAATATTATCTTGTGTGATATTTGATATCAGGAGGTTTATTATTATGTAAAATAGATGCTTGAAAAGTACTTGAACAACAAATTCGGTCTCATGAGGTTATCCAAGTCTTCTACTGTGATTAGTCTGCACCATAAACGAGAAAATATCGCGTTGCTAAAGCCGTCCCCAACTAACCTACATCGACCATACCAAACCTACCCTCTCTTAGCCATCACAACTTTCGGGGGTTGTCTCAGAGCATTTGTTTCCTGGCTTGAAAGCTGAGCCAAGAGGTTAGATTGCTCAGGAGCATTCCAATTCATTAGTTGCGGAGGGGGGGGGGGGGGTTAAACATGATGGTATGAGTTCATCCCTTGCAGTCATGAATTGCAATATTTTGTGCTCTTCGTTAGCTAGAGCAACAACAGAAATTCCAAATGGACGCCCATTTGTCTGAGAGTAGCCCCAGGGAACAGTGCCTACAGGGTATCCTGCTGCGGCGGCAATGGTAGGTATGCGGTCATCCATGGGTCCAACAATCACATCAAGACTAAATAGAGGTATTGACTTGTCAATTCCATTCGTCTTAGCTGCTTCACGTACTGATGATACTCCTTTAGCGTACTTTTTCTCAGACGTTTTGTCTTCCAAGGCACTTTCTTTCCAGCAGTTGCTGGCCTGGATGCTCTTCAGAACAATCAGTCATATTCAAAACAGAATGGATCGCAAATTCACTTACCCGCAGGCAGGGCAACCTTTGCATTGAGTTTGTTGAATTTACAATGTCCGCAATGCTTTTCATCGAGCTGCTAGGAAAGTTTTCCAAGAACTTCTCCCACGCTTTCGCATAACCATGGTCTGTATGAGATTAAAATATGATTATTGACACGCAGAAAGGCTATAATTACTCCATAGTTGATCAAGAGCATCATTACTATCGACTTGAAACTCATCCATGGAAGTCAGAGAAACATTTTCGTGCAAGGTCGCTCCGTGTTCAATGAGCTTTTTCTTGGTATCCATGGAAGCTTCGCGTTGTTGGGTAATGAGCACAGAATCTGGAGTACAAATAAAGTCGGAAAATCCCCAGAGAGCATGTATCACCTACAAAGCCAATAGTTTGACCTTGCCAACTTGTGTTCGAAGTTGATGTGGTATTTGTGCCAAGGATGACATCTACCAGGTCTGCTAAGTCTTGTGCTGACTTCGCCATACCACCTACACTATCTGTCAAGGCGGACCAAGGAGCTGTACCTTCGATTGATGCACGACCCACGGTTACCTTTATGCCGAATAGTGCCGCACGGTTTGCAGGCTGTGTGATTGATCCGTCTATCTCGGTTGCGACTGCTAGTGGTGCAAAGCCAGCTGCAACACCAGAAGCACTTCCCGATGATGAGCCTACTAGAGCCTTCGGAGGAATTAGTTCATGTCAGTCTTTGAGCGAGAAATTTTTTGCTGATACTAACAGTCTGCCCGAGTAGTTTCTCTCCCTCAGCAAGTCCTCCAAAGATACACGGTGATTGTGTTTGTCCCCCTACCGGTGGCCATCCTGTCGTTATCCCAAATCCTTTCCAGCCACTCATTTCCTATGACCGCAGTGATTAGTAGCCACACGAACAGAAAATGGTAAATTGCCTACCGATAAGTTTGCCTTTCCTGTAACGGTCATACCCGCTTTCAAAAGCTAAACGATATTTTAGCACGTCATTCAGCGCTTGGAGCTAGGTCTCCACCTACGTGATCGATGATAGGAGTATTACGCTGGGGAAAATAACCAATCAAAGCACATGAGCCACAAGTAGTCTCTATTCCGAGAGATTTGTCAGTGCAAATATTTTCCTGTACTAAAGATGGCTTAGATGAATTCTTTTACCATAGTTGGGTAGCTTACCTTCACGGTAATTAGAATGTCATGGAGAGGGGATCTGATATTCCCAGCAGCACGCTCATCATCGAGAGATTTTGCGATGTGGAGTAGAATTTCTTTGGGTGCTGTGCTTATCATTGCATTCAATTCCGGGCCTCGATTATTGCATCTCCTGATTTGACTCAGGTATAAATCCACAAGCTAGACCGAATTCACTTTGCCATCCTGAAGTAGGTAGCCTCCTCAAGTCGCTAGCCGTAGCGATGAGTACATCAAGAGTAGCCACCGAGCCTATTCGTACCGTAAAAATCCCCATAGTAAATGAATCAACTTTCGCCTGTAGATAACGGGGAATGAAGGTAGAATAGAATAGATCCCTATAGAACAGTTTGCAATTGTAGTATTTTGAAGAGTGTGGATTCTTGTGATGATGGTTATCACAACGTCTGACAGGACAGTCAATAATATTTGTGCAAAGAGCACCCGTCATGAGTGAATGAAGAATGGTGGAATTAATTTAACAAGAGATATAATATAATATATAATACAATATTGTTAGTCCCTAAAAAAAGCCAAAAGAAAAAAAATACTTCTCAATAGTATTTTTTATTAATTTTGATCTTTTCAAAAGGATAAATAGATTTAAAATTGATTAATGTGACGGAAAAGTCGTAAACGGAGTCAATTCAATCACTTAGAATCTAAAACTAAAGAACTAAAAGATTCTAAGTAAGAAGGTCTTTATATACAGGTGTTACGAGGTTTGCCGTCTAGATCACGTGGAAGTGCTCTAGGCTCTCGAGGTGGTTTATAACTAGGCGTCAAGCAGGGACTTAAAGTAATGACAATAATGCAATTCGTAACTAATAGTAGAGTATACTAAATGATTGATCTTGAGCACGAAGCTCTATACAAAGGAAATCCATCTTGATTATATAGACCATCGTGGCATGCGTCCCAGTGCTCCCAGTTGTCCCAGTACAACTGGGACAGCTGAGCCTACTGGGATCCTCATATCACATGATGCTAATCACGTGATGTTAGGTATGTGAGATCCGTCGTAACAACAGGGCTAGTGCACGTGAGCCACTAGTGGGTAACAACCGTCACGTAACAATTAACTTTAATTAAATAGACTTTTTGTATAATTTTAATTTTTACAAATTTAAAATACTTTCTGAAAGAATAATTAATAATTAAAAATAAATAATATTAAATAATTTTTTTTTTAAAAAAAATTTAAAATACTTATTTTTTTCATTTTTACTTTTTTATATTACTAAAATATCAATTAATCAATTAATCAAACATTTTTTTTTAAAAAAAAACCACCAAAACAACCCCTCAAAAAACCCAATAAAGAATATCTTTTCTTCCACCCGCACCCCCATCCCCCTCCACTCTCCTCATCCTCCATCTCCTCCCCTCATTTTCAACCCCCCGCTTCCATCCATCCACACCCACAATACATCACGCACGCAACACCTAACCGAATGACGTGATATAACATAAACAGTCGATTCACCATCCACCATCCATCTCCACCATTTCCTCCAACCTACAATCTGCTCCATCTGCATAATGCATACCTCTGAAGTTTAAATAGACTACATATATATATTCGTCTAGCGCTGTGTGGAGTATATATACCTAGGTATGTAAGATTAAGGTTAATGTTAACCTTATAGCTATCGCTTAAATGATCCGTTAATGTTATTCCTTACTCCTTACGAGTACATCTTGTCAATTATACCGTGAAGTTCGATTTTTACATTTCCTTTCCACCTTCCACCTTCCATCATCAAATCACAACAAACAAGAAACACGCAAACTGATCACTCAAAAAGTTTATTTGAAGTTTTTAATTGTATTCATAATCTACTCACTATCTTTTCTTATCCAATCAACTCATCAGCCAGCTCGACTCTTTCTCTCTCTGTCCGTTTGATGGTAGTATCCCTCCCCCACCGTTTAAAATCCCAAAAACTCACTTATATACTTTAATCTTTATGTTCACGTTAATGCGACCAAAAACTCCATCCCAGTGCCCGCTAAACGCTATCATTTACAAACTCCATCGCTCCCATTGCAACTCCAATATTTCCTCACTGAATGCCAAAATTTGAAAAGAAAACGCCCCTCATGCATTCATTTTCCCATTTGTTTTTTCGGTCCATTCTTTTCGTACACTCGTGTTTTTTATTTTTATTTTTCCCATTTCTCACTCGTCATATCTCTGTCCCCTAAGCGAACTAGTTTCCGAGTTGGAATCAACCTCAATAACTGTAATTGCAGACACCATATTGTTTTTACTATCCCGCTTACGGACATCAAAAATTTGCTCCTCTTCTTCTCCCTCTTCACTCCCATCTTTTCTCGTCCTCTTAACCGTAAAAGATTGAACTGCACCTATGGAAGCCACAAGTGCGCTTCCAATCCAAGCCAAAGCTGTGAAATTTGATTTGCTACCAAAAGAATACAGATATCCTGAGACTGGTGGAGCTATTGTTCTACAAGCAGCTCCTGCCGACGCGGCAAGTCCGTTGATTTTGCCAAGAACATTTGGAGATGGAGTAGCTTCCTTGATGAGAATGAGAAGAACGGGGTATAAAAGTATCGAAAGGAGATTTCGGACAAAAAGAGCGGTATATAGGCCGATGTATAAGTACGAAGAGGGTATATAGACGAGAAAGGGTACCATTAGGTACGCGATGGGATGTAAAACGGTGACTAAAATGAAGAGTCTATAGGTACCAAAAAATTCAGCGGCCCAAGGAAATATCACCGCTTGAACAAACAGTGCAATAACGCCATTTACAGACATAATTACGCCGACTTGTTGAACAGATAGACCAAGACCACCAGCCATCATAGAAGTATTGAAATCACCAGACATGGCGGATATGCTCTCCCCAAGACCCTTTGTATCCTCGAGGAAAATGGGAAATAAGTGATCATATGTCATTGAATGGTATGTAAATATTCCCAATGCGATAATCAAAGCCACAACATTTTTGGTGAAGATTTTGGGAGGAGTGACTTTGGTGGATGCATTCCGCCACTCACTGTCGTCACTACCCTCGAAAGTTCCATAGGTTTCAGCGCGTAAGTCGACAGCAGGAGTTTTAATGGCATCTGCCGTAGCCATCAATGGGGTTTCCTCGGAATGGTATGTATCATCTGGTAGAGAAACTCGAGGTTGCATATCCGGATGTGTCTCTTCGAGTAGGAAATACCCGGCTAGGATACTCATAAAAAGTAAACCGGCGCACATCAGATTTGGAAGTAAATATGGGAATGTGTTGAAAATACCATCCGGCGAGAAGATATTGGGAAAGGTCAATGTGGGATCTGCGAATGTGCCACCAATCGCCGGACCGATGATAGTACCTATACTCCAAACGAATGGCATTACTGAGTATGCTCGAGCTGTAAAAAGAAATTAGTTCAAATGTCCCCAGAAGATTTGCCACCGACTACAAGACCAGATGAAATTAACTTACGCTCATGCTCTTTCTTGGTGACCATCTCACCAACCATGGTTTGAATAACACCTATGTTTCCATTTAAGAAGCCTCCAAGTGCTCTTCCGAGGAGCGCCATCCAGATGTTTGATGCAAATCCGACCATGATCATACTCAACATTGTACCACAACACCCTGCTAGTAATACGGGTTTTCGTCCAATTCTATCAGATAAACCTCCCCAATACATGCCAGTCATAGACTCTGCCAGGGCAAAGGCCGAAATGAGAAGTCCGGCATAGAAAGACGCGTCATCTTCGCTACCGACTTGGAATTTCTTGACGAGTGGCCACGCGTAGGGGAAGATAGAGGTGAGGGCGATAGGTTCCGCAAGACGTACAATAGCTAGAATGAAGTTAGTTTTGTTCACGATGATCGTCTGCGTGGCGCAGATGTGGAATGTGGAATAGAACTTACCAAGTAAGAAGAGTTGGGCGGTGGGAAATTTATCGGGATCCTGATGAGATTTCCGAATTCCTCGGGGCATTGCTCGTGAGCCAGATATGACTCTTCTGGCTCTCGGCGATGAGTGAAGATGAAGATTGAAATATCAGTTGTCAGATATATAATATAGAAAGAAGTTCAATCTGAGAATTGTGAACAGTTTCCTATCGACGTCCTAGAAGACGGATAGGAAAAGAGAGAGAAGACCGAGGGAAATAGAAAGTAAGACGCAAATAGGTGAAGATGATAGTGTTAGGAATCTAGGTGAAGTGAAATTTGTAGTATTTGCGGAAACGGAAGAGAAGATGATTCAAAGATAGAATAAATGTTGAAAAAGCCAAGTGAAGGTGGGAAGGGGGAAGGAAGCATTCACTCTATATGTCTGACGACTTCCCTTCCTGTTTGCGCTCAAGCTTCCGTCCGCACTGAGGATTTCTAGAAGCACATGCAGAAAAATCTTTTTTCCTACCTGGTACCTTACCGGCATGCATGCAGAGATAATGTACCTCGTTTATCCTTACCTTCAAATTCTGGGAGCGTGTCGTATCTACTACGGAATGGTAGTTCCATGGTTTGTGGAAGAGGGAATAAGTACGAGATAATGTAATTGGTCTCTTTTGTTGTTGTCGCCAAACCTTCTCGGATGTTTATTCCGCGGCTCTGCAATTTTGGCTGATTAAGGTCACTCGAGTACCCACTTGTAGATCGATAAAATAATGAAAGATCAATATAAAATATACTGCTAATGTATAACAACCATTCACTAAACTATTATTGGCTATTGTGGGGGGCACTTTTATTAGAATTATAGAGTTTTATATGTCTGCTCCCTACTTGTACCCACCGACATCATGCAGGGGCAAGGATTCATGGCATTTCAGACTCCCATCTCGACTTCAGTTCATCTCAATTATTGGATGGGTCGAGGTGAGTGAAAATAAAAAATAAATGAATTTATCCGCTTGTCCCAACACTTATTATTATTCTTCCGAAAGTTAATACTTCCAAGCCTTTAAGTTATTTATGAGATACTTGGTAGCTATAATAGATACATAGTGAACAACACTACCAAAATGCTATACAAAGATATCCTTTTAATTCTAGTACAGATGAACTGGCTGGAGCAAACAGCTTTGACCATGACCTTGTGATATCAGAAACATTCGTAGCATACGTACGCAGTCAGCATTTCACTTGAAGGACTATCTAGTCAAATATATGTAACTAGTGTTATCAATTTCCTATCATCCTTTCAAATTTGCTACGATACTGCAGCCCTGGAACATATGCAACCTTGACCATGTCCTTGTGAGACACCGAAGGATATTCGGAACACGAGCATTCGACTTTCAAGCATGGGGAAAGACTGGAGGATGGGATCCAATTGCCATTACGACGCCAAAGCTGTATACGGAGGCGATTGTCGAATGGGAATGTTACGATTAGCTGTGGTAACTGAAATGTAACATTGTGATAGTTGAGGTATTGATCTTCGTCTCCTTCATTATTCCTTATCATAGTTCTCAACATCTATAACATCCATTGATTGAGTTCAACCATCGTAGCAAATATATAAAACATATGTCTTCATAATTAACTCACTCAAGAGCATGCTTTCATATGAGGTCTGAGAAATTAAGGTTGTTTTGAGTGAAGATGTGAAAACACTTTTTTGTCCCACCGTTTCTTCCACGGTGGGGAGACTACCGAGAACGGTGTACCCAGGATTAAAGTTTAATGGGGCAAAAACCAAAAAGACCCATCCGAAACCGCTTTTACAGGAACCGACTGCATCAACTAGCGCAATTGATCTGCGCACAGATCGACAAATGGTAGTTTCTCCAATTTGTTATTCAGACACCCCTGCTACTAGACTAGAAACTTCCATTTATATATTATTTTACCTTCTTTGGTGGTAGCATCGAATTTTCTAGATATTCCTACCCGAAACTTCACTACATTGCCCCAATGTCGATTCTTTCACCGCGACTCTATTAATGACTTCCAAGTGAAAAAAATCTTTCAAGTCACAAAACACTTATCTTCGCAGTTTCTTTGACTAACATATTTCTCCAGTAATACGGCAAATCTTACCTTGTAAACTTTTGTCCTGTGTTTCCTTGTTACTGTACGAATTTCTACGTTGGTTCAGTTCAGCTGATGGCCAAAGCAAAAGCATGGTAAATAGAGTTGATTGTTGAGGTAGTGACACTCAGTGATACTGCATCGTAGCGAATGCGTTCAAATTCTTCAGGATGTTCCCATGCAAATGAGGAGATGGATGCTTTCGTACTACGTTCCTCCATTGTTTCTCCTGCCGATGGCTTCTCATCCGATAGATCAAGATTTTATTCGAGATAGCCCCGTATAGTGTACTATGAACCTATGGGAATAAATACTCACTACATATCCCATTCAATGTATCATGACATGACACGAAGATTATTTTTCATCCACTACTTTGAGTGTGATACTTGGCTTTCACTAGAATGGTCGGGAACACATCTCTTGACCTGCCTCGGAAGATGTCCATACGGAGAAACAGTTCTTTCAAAACTATTGAATCGAGAATCATGGAGAATTTGGGGAAGTGGACTGAGATATGACAGCTCATACTCGCATGTCGATGAAAACTTTGAATATTTCATATGCCGTGCACCAAGTAAGTTCTAACTCTATTCCTATCAACTTGTCTTCAAAATTTATATAAACTTCTTGTGATCTTATCACTTTCTCTTCCATCTACTTGCATATTACTCAATCATCAATGTTGGTTATTGGATTGTGGAAGTGTCACTGTTACTGTTACTAGCTCATCTCAACTCTGGGTCGAGTAACGTCACTGGACTTTGGATAGTTCCATGGTCGGAAAGCCAAATATAGTGTCGATGCCAAATTCGTATTCAATACTATGATTGGGCTCCGAAATCATGAATTTCAGCTCTTGACTAAGATTAAGTCGAAACGATCCTAATGCAAGTATGGCTGCATGACATATTACGGTTCGATATTTTACCATGGGCCTCATTTTTAGCCGTTCTTGACAGGCTGGAATACCTGCAAGCTCTAAATTCGATTTCTTATGATAATTTACAACGTCTCTAGAACCCATCAGCAAGTTTACAATCTATTGAAATTATATGGAAACCTACATTCTGCTTGCAGCCAGACAAGTACCATACAACATGATTCACCTCAATCCAAAGAATCGTGTACCCATTCTCGCCTTCACATTTTATGAACAAAAAGCTCCACGAATTGAAGAGACGTTGATTCATCCCTCTGTCACGAACCACGACTAATATTATACAATAAAAACAAGTACGGGGGTTTAGGCTGTTGTTTACCGCGGCTCCCTTATCGATAAGGAATCCTAGGACAAGTGTCCTAGGATAAAATGTGTCCCAGGATAATAATTATCCTAGGACAAGACGATTAGGCAGCCATAAAGGCATAGGACAAGTGTCCTAGGGGGTTAGGCGTCCCAGGATAAAGTGTCCTAGGATAATATTTGTCCCAGGACAATTATCTTAGGAGCTATATTATCCCAGGATGAGAATCGTTCCAGGATTAGTATCCTAAGGCCAATAGGAGATCATGTAATATAATAGCTCTGCTAGCCAACTAGCAGAGCTAGCATTCAGGGAAACGATTAGTATATAGTCAGAATAGTTTCATAGTTTAGGAGCTTCATGCTCAACTTAGTTATCAATTAGTTTATCTACATTCTACTTGATCTAGTAACGAATTCACTTCCAAGTGAATACCAGTGATAAAGCCTTAACCCACAACTACCAACCCGACGAAACCTTAGGCAGCCGCTGCCTCAAGTACAGTATCGTTACACTAAAATCCAAAATATTTATTTATTATTCATTATTTATATCACCATCATCAAATCTCTCAAATAAAACTTAAATCCAAACAGTAGTAAAAATATCACAGATCATATAATAATAATAAATATCTATCAAATCATTCATTCATTCATTCATCCATCCATCCATCAGTGAATCAATCAATGAATCAATCAATAAATCTATTTACAATTTCTCCAGAACCCCATACAAGGTTCAAATTTCGAATCCTATTCCTGAACTGTATACGCTCCATCCCACTCATAAGTATATCCTTTAAGCACGTAGTCTTAACCATTAAATTCATATCTCGAACGAGTTTCCAATTGCACCCAAATGAACCTATCCAACCAAAGCCAATGCTCAACTGAGCAATTGAATACTAATATTCAATACCTAACCAATGAATCATAACTCCATCGCTCATGCTCGCTAATTTTCGAATTATATATTTGTTTTCGCAAGTTTGTTGCTTCTTCGTTTCATCTCATTAATTGGGACCACGAGAAATTAGTGTCCTCTTATGTTTTTCGTGCATTCCAATACATCGATATGACGCATCCAGAACTTCAAGTCCCTAGTATTCGCCATCTTCTGCAATTCCTTCTCTTTCATATTACTCCTCTCTCTCACCCTTCCTTAAAGCTTAACTGGAAATCTCTTTCTCACTCTTCCACCAAACTTATAAATGACCATCGGTGCCGGAATAAGTGCTAGTGCAATAAATCCCAGCACACTATTTCCCCATCCATAGCCTAGCGCCTGATACATGGCGGGTCCAGCTAATGGTAAGAACGCTCCAAAAAGACTTCGGCATACTGTAAGAGCTGCTATACCTGATGCTGCGTAAGAGGGAAAAGAATCGATGACGTATGTTTGGATTGGGATAAAGATACCCATCATGCCGAAACCGAAAGGGATGAGGCCAATTATAGGAATGATCCACTGGACGATGTTAATTTTGGTTCTTTCGAGCTTGCATGGGTATAGATAGGATTGAATAATGTGATGTGATGTAATACGTACGTGAACACCAGCATGAATACTCCAGCCATACCAGAAGAGACTAATAGGTATAAAGCAAGCAAAAAATATACAAGCAGGCAACCTCATCTCAGGTTCGAAAATCCCATTATTTGCTTTAGTCATGCTGACCACGGTGACATCTGAGATGCGAGCGACTACTACGAGACCGAGGAAGAAACCTAGTCCCAAACCGATGTACTGATTAAGGTTAGATATGAAAAGGTAGTAGCAGGAGTGTTGGAAGGTGGAAATAAGGAATTGAGTAGAGGAAAATGAAACATACGGCTAATCCACAGAATTCTGGCGCCCAATGATACCTGGTAGTAAACACCGTCGTAATAGTAGTGAATAGTAAATACAAAAGTCCATAAACAAGCGCCATATATAGACTCAAGATTAACACTATGGGACTAAACATTAACATCTTGAGAGGTCGAATCATAGCATTTGCTAGAACCGAAGATTTGGAATGATGTGCTGAGTTTCTGGGGTCGTAAACGCTGCGTAGATCTGATCGATTAAGCTCTTTGGAGAGTCGCGCAACTTTTCGTTTTATAAGAAGTCGTGGGTTAGTTTCCACATTCAAGCATTCAATGCCGATGGTTATGAGAGTGCCGGCAATAAAAAGAATCCAGAACACCCAACGCCAGCCAATTCTTTGGGCTACGAAACCTGGGGTAATGTTAGATATCTTAGATTTGATAGCTCAGAAAAATAGGAGAAATACCTCCAGCGATTGGACCAATAACAGGACCAAACAGAGGTCCCAGGCTGAAAAGCGAAGTGGCCAACCCTCTTCTATCCGCATGAAATAGATCCGCAATCATACCAGCACCGATAGTTAAACAGCCAGAACCACCTAATCCAGCCATAAATCGAAATCCTATCAATGTCGCCAAGCTAGGCGCCAATGCACAACCTATTTGCCATGCACAAAATATTATATTACCACCAGTAAGAACATATCTCCTCCCATATATTTCCGATAATGGCGCAAGTATCAATGGCCCAACGACATATCCCAACACAAAGATACTCACCGTGAAGGAACTCAATATCAAACTTGTATTGTGGAAGTCCCGATCCGCAAATGTTACACCGGGTGCGAACATACTGGAAGCGAGCGGGGATATGAATGTAATACTAGCCAGTAATCCCGTCAGCACCCATTTCTTCGATTCTGGAAAGTTCAAAGGCATCTCAGGGTCTGTCTGACTATCCCACCCAACAATACCAATCGCGAGATTCGAGACAGGAAGAGGTCTAGGTGGAAGTTTGGCGCGAGGAGTGGTCGTTCGATGAGTTATGCGGGAGATTCTAGGACCACCAGAGGATTTCGAGGCTGTGCTGGTTATATCGTTTGCTTGCGAATTTGTATGCGCGCGACGAGTAGATGATTTAACTTTTCTAGGTTCTGTATGTGTCTGCATGGAAAAGAGCTTTTAGTAAGTGGTTTGATGATGCGCAAAAAAGGGTGGCGGTTTTCGAACCTTCTGCCTTGCGAGATCAGTCTGACCTTGATCCATTGCTTCGGCTTCTTCATGATTCGAGTCGGGGTATTTGATCGAGGCATTTGAAGCTGCATCATTTTCATGTGAAGGATTTCTAGAATTATCGGATTGGGATGCGATGGATTCTGTTGTGGTTCCAGTTTCTTGTTCTGGTTCTTGTTCCTTTTCCTCCTCTTCAATTATCCCTTTCTCGAGATCTCGACGTGAACTCATCATTGGCCTCTAAAAAGGTTGCGCAGATGAGATTTGCAAGTGCGGATCAATTGAAGAGCTTGTAGTAAAGACTCTGCGGGGGCTGGGAAATGATTATCATCAACAATTATGCATCTGGTGTATTATGTACAAATACAAGTGGATGGAAAACGTCAAAATCGATGGTGGTATTAGCGGTATGAGACAAAAATGTGGGAGGGAAATGGGGAAACTGATGGTCGGTGAAGCCTCCGTCCAATGGAGAGAATAAGGAAATATAAGAATTAAATGTAATAGGGAGAGTATGGGTGGAATCCAATGCAACATGCAAACAAGACCGACTGCCATGAAAAAATTGCGGATAAGAAATAGTTTGGTATGCAGGGCATATACGCATCCTACCTCGACGGAACCGAATGAACAAGCTGAATTTTATGGTACTCCGTATGGTGTATGGTACGAGAATAACATGCTTCTCCTCCTTTTGGGAAGGAAGTTATTTGGCTGTGTTTCTTTCCGTGTGCATGTGCGTGTGCGTGTGCCTACCTATGATTGTTGGGTTGCGGTCGGGTACCCAGAATTATCGAGCTTGGGTTGTGGCTGAATGAAGGAAAGGTCTGTCTTATTTCTTCAAGGGGACTTTCGGTTACTGTATGGGAGTGGACCGTATGGGGTAGACTAGGCCATAGATCGGTTCGAAAGTATGAAATGGAAGCTGGATAACTCATACCCGGATAGGGTTGAGGAGGCATAGAAGGTAGAGCCCTGCAAAGACGGGGACTAGATTGAAGTCTATAAGTACCAAGTTACGAAATAAGAAATCGAATCATATTTTATAACATGTTCTATGGAGTGAGGGAGGGAGGGAGGGAGTGAGGAGTGAGTGTGTTGTGTGTATGTATGTATGTATGTATGTATGTATATGTGTGAGAGAGTGTGTGATTGAGTGCATATATTTATGAAGAAATTATGAATGTTTACGCATAAATTAGATAGAAGGCGTAGATAAGTAAACAAACAATGTGTGCTACCTTAGCTAGACTACTACCGAAGAACAAATCATTTCCATCCTAAGCGTGATGGTGGGGTAAGCACCGGCGATGTCAGCAGTTAATCACTATCTAGGAAGGTTCTCCGCGTCAAATCGTCTGAGCACGCCCATTACATTACATAAACACAAACCTGAAGCTTAAAACTCTACATATTGACTATTGACTACCGACTACCGACTAGACTTCGACTTCAATTCAATATTGTTGACGCAAAACAAAGAGCCGATTGGTTGTCTTGTCTTTAGTATACATGTCCGCGCCCGATATTGCGATTGCGATTGCGATTGCCTTTGCCATTGCATTGCGATGATCGAATATCTCTTTCTTTGACGCAATTCAAACAAGAAAGTTAACTTGTTCATCAATGTGGATGACAGGCTTCGAGATAGCATCAAGTGTGCTCATACACAATCCCGAGGGGAAGACTGAGAGATATAATTAATATCCTCGTTTGGAATGCTACTATCACCTGAAAAACTACAGGAATCCTCTCATGTGATATCACTAGATGCAATAATTGAGTATCATTGAATCCTTCACTCTTCATCTAGCCGCGAATTGATTTCCTTTTCACAAGGAAAAGTACTCGTTAAAATGGCCGAAAACGATTGTCATACTCAGCATCATCAAAGAAAGTCTATACCAAGCTTGGCGAACGTTAAAAGGGATTTGAAAATGAAAGAATATTGTGATCCTTGAAGAACAATGAAAACCAAGTGTTCTTTTGTCATCAATCGTATTTAAATTTTTAGTTCATATGCACTTATTCGAGAATGCTAACATTATAGCTCCATGTCTAATATCCTAAACCTCGAACCAACGACTATTGTCACAATTCTGGTGTTGTAGAAAGTAACCTTGGAATCTCTACCTCGTTATCGACATTATGGAAGCAATTGAATCTCCCAGTGCGCCCGCTGGTATGGTGTCAAAGCCATGGGATACTACAACTCTAGCAATCGGTGGCGCTATGTGTAAGCCTCGTTCTTGATTTAAGTAATGTTCAATTAAATTAATGAATATAGTGGCCATCCGAGTACATCCTCCAGATTTGACTGGGCCGGTCCATCCATTTTTCGCACGCGACAGGTGGGAAGTGGCCGATGAAGACTATCAGCTCTTGCTCCCAAGCATGCGACTTGCGACCCGGCTATTAGAGATCGGAATGCCATACTTAGCAAGTTTTTTACCGACCAGCAAGATCTTTGGCACGCCGCAAGATGTATCTCACGCTGAACATCGTACAATTGTCGCTCCGAAGGTAATCCAGACAAAAAAGCAAATCTTGGTCAAAGATCTTCAAGTAGCAGAATTGGAACTCGAAGCCATTTCAAGATGTATCAAGTGGAGATTGAATGAAAGAATGCATGCAGACAAAGGTTGGAATGGTATCACAAGGGTAGTAGACCACGGGGAAGCCGATTTCCACGAACTAGATGAGAATGAGATTGCAGAATCGGATTTGCAAGCTGGTCAAGCGGGTCAGGTACGACGACCACTCGTCATAGCAATCATGGACTTATTACTGGTCCCGATGCGCACTCACCCGCGTGATTCTGAAATCCGCCTCAAAGCACAATTTATGGCGACGATTACTATGACTCACGAAATCGGGCATGCAGTATTCCTTCAGGATTACCGGTCGTTCAACCCGCCTACTGGTGATGAGCCCTATGTTGACAGAAATGTTGATAGTGAACTAGGGAGATCCTTCATCAGCTGGATTTTCAAAGGCTTTCATCCTCAGTTCTGTGAATCACATGAAAAAGATGCCCAATTTGGTAGTCTAGGATGGTCATTGTATTGGCAGCAACTACATAGGATTACTCAATTGTTTGGAAATGACAAAGAACACAAGAGACCTCTATATGAAAAGCTCTATGCGATTCCTGTCGCTTATTTGTCAAATGTGTTTCGACAGGGTTGGTGGGACACTAACCGGCGAGGTGTTCCGGCCCATAAACTCGCTGGGATTCTCAGAGGGAGTTTGAACTTGGCCTATAGAGATGAACTGGGAGCCGCTATAGCTGTGAAGGCCAACTGGTGGATGGATCCATTGGCGAAACGCCCTAGATGGAGAGGTCACTATAGAATTGGGAAGTACTCTACAGGCGAACCTGTCGAAGGACTTACAAAAGATCAAGTCGCAGCACAAATGAGACTCGATAGGCAAAAGTTTTCATTCGGTTTGAATGACGGCGGCGATGATCTTGATGATGAGATCGAACAATTGTCAAGAGAGCATACTCCCGGTGCAACGCAAAACAAGTCTATCTCAGGGCACGATAACAGAACGATTATCGCTTATAGTGTGGAGACGCACGATGATGGAATGCTTGATGAGGATATAGGGTACATAGAAGACGATGATTCCGAGGTTGTGACGCAAATTGAAGTTCGATATCGGCCGACAACAGAATTTCAGCCCAGATCGACAAGACTTATTGCCCCAAATAAACTGGTGGAGCAAGCTCGAAAGGATGTTTTGGATGAACTAGCCGCCGAAGAAAAAGCAGCAGCTTCCGGAATGTTAACAGGATCGAATACAAGACCTGGAAAGCGCGAAAGCTTGAACGATTATCTTTCCATACACGGGCCTAGCAAACGTCTGAGAACAGTGGTGGAAGCAGACAAGACTAGGGAGGGTGCTACACTTCTGGAAAAGGTTGTCAGAGCGCTTGACCAATCGTCGGAAAATGAGGTAGGCCATTGGACAAGAATCCAGGCATGGTATTATTGCTTGGAACATGGGATTGCTGTGGCCGAATTACCTAAAACCGCTGCAGCACAGCAAGCAAAACTTGACAACGGCGTGGAAGCTAATTATGAAATCATGCGGAAAATACAGTACCATCTCCTACAGACACTTTGGGATGAAACCTACAACGATGGCAAAAATCCCGAGTCTGTTATTATAGCAAAAAACATCCTTCACCTGATTGATTTCTTTCTGGATGAAGATATTGACGTACTTGCTGAAAAGATGCACATATTCGATCTATATACTCCTCGCAAGAGGGAGAAGTCCAGAGAATTATTGAAAGTTCACCTGCGACAGATGATTGATGGTGAACACTTAAAGGCACCTCAAGGAAACGTCACCTTGAAGGAACAGTTGCAACCTCTACACGCTCTGGCTCCAGAACCATCCCAATGGTCAGAAGATGATTTAAGGTCGTGGTGTCGGCACAAGGGAATTCCACAGTGGGGCTCCATTTCCGGTCTAATTGCCCGCGTCAATCGTTTCAGAGAAGAAGAAGAGAATGTTAAAGTCGGCATAGCCGGTCGACCTAAACCTCCTCCCGGCAGAACTGATCGCACGGCCACAGAAATCTATCGCTTTAGCGCGGTTCTTCGACACAGCTCCCTCGACGCCCTCAAAAGTTCCCTTTTCATCCATGGCAACTTTCCCTCAGACACCGAACTCGATCTCTGGGTCAACACAGACGAAATTCTCAAATCGGGCTCTTTGGATAAACAAAGCCCCAAAGTCGATTGGAAACGTCTTGTTCTCAGCGCGATGCGCACGGCAACTCCCAAACAACCAGTTAAGGTCAGTCGCGAAGAACGTATCAGGAAAATAAACAGGCACAATGACCTCATCGATGACCAACTCCAAGACCTGCAACGCCAAGAAGCCGGAAAGAGCTTGCCCGGTATAACAGTTCTAAACACAGTGTCGGATATTTCGCAGCGAGCGCTAGCACTCACACGTATCCGCAACGCGCCAGGTACAAGACCCGGACAAAGTTGGAAAAAGCACGACCGGGCTAACTTGATCAAGGGCAAACACCTAGTCGATATGATTATGGATCTTGAGGATCTGGAAGCTAAGAAGAATCAAGATCAAATAAGGCGCAAGACCATGAATGATAAGAGGGCAGAGGAGGACCAGGCCGCGACTGAACAGTTGGAGAAGGAGTTTAGGAGGGTGACCCATATGAAGTTGATTGAGAAGAGGGTTACGATGGACCGTGGATCGGGGCAGAAGTTGGGGGCTGGTGAGGGGGCGGGTAAGGAGG